CACAGTCCAGGTGGCTGGCAGGCAGCAGGGCCTCCCCCGCCTCATCACCGATGCAGCCTGAAAGCCGGCCATTGGAAAGGCAGCACCCAGTCAGGTCAGGAGCCATGATGGGGCGGAAGGGGAAGTGGCAGGGAGGCAGGACAGGAGGTGTAACATCGCCAGCAGGGGCGGAAGCAAGACCCCGAGCCCAAAACCCACTCAAAAGCAACGGCACTGCCTGGCACCAGATAGGTAGCTGTAGCAGCCCGGGCTGCAGTGTTAGGAGAGTCAAGTAACGAATAAATATACACTGCAAGAAACTTTTGTGAATTAATGTGTTCTGTTTATAGCTATCATTCTATAAAGTGCATTGTGTATTCTTATAACACCCTAATCGGGTATACATATTCAGTACATTCAGTCTAACAGTAACGCTCAGCTCGTACAATAGAACAACTACCAGTCAATTTTGCATCAGTATTTAAAATTCTGATGCAAAATTGACTGGTAGTTGTTCTATTGTACGAGCTGAGCGTTATTGTTAGACTGAATGTACTGAATATACCGTATTTTTCGCTCCATAAGATCTTTTCTTCTCCAGGACTCAGGGAAGGTGTGTGGTGAGTTTGAGCGGTGGTGGTGGGGAACACACAGGTGGAAGGAAAAGGGTTAAGCAGCAGCTCTTCCCCCCCCCCCAGCTCCTGTCAGGAATGTTTTCTGTCTGCTGGGGCCTTTTTCCTGGGACTGCCTCTCCCAGGAGAGCCAGCTTGGTGTCGTGGTTAAGTGTGCAGGCTCTAATCTGGGAGAACCGGGTTTGATTCCCCACTCCTCCACTTGCAGCTGCCGGATGACCTTGGGCGCGCCATAAGTTCTCTCAGTGCTGTCCTTGAAAGAGCAGGTCTGGAAAGAGCTCTCTCAGCCCCACCCACCTCGCAGAGTGTCCATTGTGGGAAGGGGAAAGGAAAGGCGTTTGTAAGCCACTCTGAGAGTTTGAGTGAAGGGTGGGATATAAATCCAATCTCCTCCTCCTCTTCCTCCTCCTCCTCCCCCTGTTCTCAGAGAGCGTTTCCCTTGCAGTGCCTCCTGGGGTGGTCGGTCCACAAAAGGGCGTTGATGACGATAACAGGGTGCGGGGTGGATGTGGGGATTTGGACGGCTGGGGGTGGACTGCGAATCAGCGGTCGGGGGTCAGAGAGCTAGTCAGTCTGGGGAAAGACCTTTCTTTGCCTAAGGCCCTGGGGGAGGAAGTCCAAGTCTTCTGTCTGGGTTCCTGCAGAAACCACTCTCTCTCTCCCCCTCCCTCGACCATAGAGGGTTCTGGAGCAGACGGGGGGGGGGGCTTAGAAAGAAATGCAGATTCCTATAACCAACCCCGTTGGCCCTGCGGTGGGGCCCCCGGGGGGGGGGGGGGGGGGGGGAGAAGGCTGATCGGGGCTTGGATGTCCAAGCCCCGGTCAGCCTTCTCCCCCCCTCCCAAGCCCGTGTGAGCTGCTGTCAAGGCTGAACGGGGCTTGGATCTAAGATCATAAGGCGCAACTGCTGGCCCGGCGGTGTGCCAGAAACAGTTTGTGGGCACAGCTGAAGAAATAGCAGGCTCTTCGTTTTTAAATTATGAAAAGTTCTAATTTTAGCTTTAATGAAGGTTATCAAGGTGAGTCCTCGTTAACCTGGTAGTATTCATTTGAGTTAATTAGCTTTTATTTATTCACTCATTCATTCACTTAATTTATGCCCTGCCTTCTCCGCCAGAGCAGGCTCAGGGCGGCTTACAGAAGGATAAGAACATAAGAGACGCCAATGTTGGATCAGGCCAAAGGCCCATCCAGTCCAACACTCTGTATCACACAGTGGCCAGAAATACCAGGTGCCATCAGGAGGTCCACCACTGGGGCCAGGACACTAGAAGCCCCTCCCACTGTTGACCCCCTCAAGCACCAAGAAGACAGAGCATCACTTGCCCCAGGATAAAACATAAGGCTTTTCTCAGGATTAGCATGTTCACAGCCAGGGGAACTTCTACAAGATAATGACTCAGTCCTACCCCACCTTCCTGAGCAGATATAAATTATGACTGCGGTCTTGGCATTGTAGGACCTGTGTGACACAGAGAGTCCTCCATCTTTCTGTGTTATACCTCTGAGGATGCCAGTCACAGCTACTGGTGAAACGTCAGGTCCTACAATGCCAAGAACGTGGCCATACAGCCCGGGAAAATCTACAACAGCTAATTATAACATAGATAAAAACCATCTGAAAACAATCCAATGTCATAAAGTGCTAGCTAGATGTAAGCTGTAGGCTCCAGCTATTTTGTTCAAAGTACAGGCACCTTTCAAAGTTGGGAGGATTTATCTCTTGTTCCTAACACTCACCTTCTCTCTCAGAAGTGCCCTGTGAAGGTTGAATTGGGCTTCTGCAGGCGGCTTCCCATCAAAGGAGAGCCAGTTGAGTGTAGTGGTTGGGAGTGCGGACTCTTTATCGGGTTTGATTCCCCACTCCTCCATATGCAGCTGCTGGGTGACCTTGGGTCAGTCACAAGTTCTCTCAGAGCTCTTAAGGGCAGTCCTTGAAAGAGCTCTCTCTACCTCTACCTCACAGGGTGTCTGTTGTGG